AACTAAATTTAATGAACTAAAATAATTGCTACGCCTCGGTTTACTATACTATAGAGAATTAAAGAAAAGAGTCTAAAAACACACGACTTCTCTGGAGTCAGTATTTTCGTATTTTATATAAATTAAATACAATTTTCTAGTTTACCTTTGTAAGTGAAGGGAAGCAAATGTTTTAATAGTTACTTATTGGTAAACATAAATCGGATTAAGAGATTAAGGAGGGCTAGAAGGCTGTTTAATTTATTGTGAGTGCAAAAATACATTATATTTGAATGAATATATACGAGTACAAGACTGCATCAAGATAATGTCAGACTGTACTTAGTTAATATTTGCCACCATACGGCGTATTCTTGTATCGGCTACAGGTAAACAACACGTCACGTTCTCTAATTATTTTCTTAAATTCCAGTATTTTAACTGTATAGATAAAAACATAGATATAATATAAGATGACTTGAAGGGTATCGATTAGGGAACGCAAAAGTTATTGAAGTTTACCTAAATATTTGCTCAAGTAGTAATGTATTTTAACAAAACTAATATAAATTATACATGTACAAATCTATACGGCTGCAATGAAAAAATCAATTTAATGGATCAAAGTATTGATTTATTTAAAGACGGACAGAAATACCATATCCTAGAAAAACAATAGTTTAACCGAGCACTTCTATTTTATGTCAAAACAAAAAAATAAAAGTAATTTCTACATTTTTAAAACTTTATTGAGATGATGAATCTCTGATAGTCTCCAACTACCTGTTGTTGAAAATTTGAAGAACTCGATTGTATTAGACTTAGTGAGTTGATGAGTAATGACAGTATAAAATAATATTTTATTCTGCAACTACTTTCTATATTCAGTGACGGTATTACAGGGTGGATTAGGGAGTCTGGACCTCTCCTCATACAGATCCCGAGTTAAGACTGTGATTCGCTAGGGACAGTCGGGCTTGGTGTTATTTCAAGTTTCTTCATTTATATAAGAATTATATTCTAAGTAATATATCATTAATGGTTACATTTTTGTGATAAGATAATTATAGATGATAGAAGATAAGATAATATAAAACCACTACCAAGGAAAAAATGCTAAAAACCACCACTGACCATATTATCATAGGAAACACAGAATCTAGAGAAAATCATTGAGTTGATGTAATTTGTGTTTAATAATGTAATACTTCAATAAAGACCATCATTTATATAACTTTCTTACCACTATGAAAAAGCATTAGACTATAAAAGCTTATGAAATGTATATTTTTCAATCAATTTTATGTCGAAAGAAGTAAGGTTATAAATCATAATAGTTCAGTTATATCTATAATTTTTCTTCATCTTTCTTAGTTTAACGGTCCCTGTAGGACCTGAGCTGCCACAAGCAATTCTCTCCATCTTTCCCTGTCCAATGCCAGGTCAACTGTCTCATTTCTTCCCAACATCTTAATATATTTCTCTACCGTATCTTTCCACCTCGTTCGTGGTCTGCAAATCAGTCTTTTTTTATGTATGGTCTCCGTTAGTACTTTTCTTATGATGTCATTATTAACTCTCCATACATATTCAAACCATTTCATTCTCTGAATTTTTATGTACGACAAAATATTGGGTTTTAAATATAGTCTGTATAGGTTGTCATTCATTCTTCTTTGTTATCTATAATACCAAGATATAAATTTTAATATATTCATCAGTTATTAAACTGTACAACTTTCAGTATAAAACACATATAGTTTTATATCTGTTTACCGATACATTATCTTTTTGTTATACATACACTTATATGAACTATTAATATATGATAATTTATAGATTTAACAAAGAAAAAAAAAGAAAACCATAAATCTTTTCATATAAACATTTTTATTAATTTTTTTATGCAAATCATACATTTTTACATACATCTATAAACAAGAAAAAATAATTAACAACAGAATTACTTACAGATTAGCCATTAATTAAAATAATATACTATAAATTACAAATATCTATTGGTTTAAAGTTACTTAAATTTACAAAAAATATATTCATAAACAAGTCATATAGGTTTTATTATGCTGAAATTACAGTAACAAAAGAAGAAAGAAATAAATTAATAAATCACAGGTCTTAAGAATAATTTTACTATTATTAGCAAGTAATAACACTATTATGTTTATGTTGTATTTAATACAGTCATAACAACAAAACGAATAATGAATTCATCAAATACAATGGTAGTTAAAATAAAAAAAATATATACTTCAAAATAAAAATAGAGTCGAATTGATACTATTTTGTTGATAATAACTAATAAATAATTAGATAGAAAATACATACTAAAAACTTTAATAAATTGCATGGTAATAAAAATATGTTTAACCAGAGGTAATACAATTCTAGTGTAAAAGAAATAAATATTAAGATGAGAAAAAGTGAAAATATACCAGAATAAATTAATAAATTACAATAGGCAACCACAATTATAATGTTAGGTGGACACAATATTACTGTAATTATAATATGGAGTAAATTTAAATAAATTAACCACAAAATAGTCTAGTTTTTGGCACTTACAAAACAAAATATGGTAATTTTGTTAATAATACATAATAATAAATCATCAATGACATGATAGCTAAATAAAATTATAACTAAGAAAATATTTACATACTATCAACATTGAGCATTGTAATAAATGAGTTCATAATTATTTTCCATTGAAAAATAATTAATGGTCTAATTAATAATTAACAAGTTTAATTAATTAATAATTTTAATAATAATTAGAAAATAAAGATATTTACATTAATAGCAATGTCACTTAATACACATTTTAGAAAACAATTGCACTTAAGTCACTTTTCATTTTCTTTAATTCCCTTCTCCCTATATAAAAAAAATTGTCTAATACAATAGTATTGATGATGATTCATAAGATAGTTATATATAATATTGCTTTCATAATTCATAATTTTACAATACATCTTGAATTTCCACACGTTTTATTTTTTGAAACATTCAAAACAGTTAAATCAATTACAATTAAAAGAGATTTTTAAAATAACAAACAGAAAAAATTAAGTAAATTAAAAATCTATATGAATTTTATCTAGAAGTGCACCAAAATGAAACTTTGTTATCTATTTGTAGAACAATGGGAAGGATAGAATATGGTGGTACGAAACCATGATAATAAAGGGGGAAATTTTTAAAATACATAGGGTATACAATACAAATAACATGTTACCCAATTGTATTAACAGATTAAAATTAATTTTAAACTGTAACTGGTACATCTAAAATTTCCACACCCTAAATCCTAAAGGTTTGTTTTTCTTGGGAATGAAAAGGATGATTTCCCTTTCCCCATAAGAAAAATCAATAAAAATGTAATTAAAAATGTTAAAAGAATTACTATTTTTATTTTTATTTTTTAAATAAAATGTACTTCAATTCTTATTAAGCATTTAGATATTTACACCATTTCTGCATTGTTATTACTTTTCCATTTCGTTTTAAGTATAAGATTATCCAAAATAAATGTCACAATAGTATTATAGGATGATGAAAATATAACATCATAGTATAATAAGTATACATCAAAAGTATAATTTAATTGGTAACTGTTGTTCAGTAATTGTCAGTAATTACAAAATTAATTATTATATATTTTATTTTATTTTTATTATATATAAATTGACATTCAAAATTGTACTTGAATACCAATATTTAAAAAATTAATTAAACACTGTTTTTATTTTAAATAACCATTCTTAATTGTAAAATTTAACATTTACTTTTGAATATCAAAAATAATTCATGTATAAATTCATAACAGTCCAACCATAAGAAAAAAAATCAGGTAATATCCATAGTAAAATATATATTATATATCGGAATAACTGTATTAAAAACATACATGTTTACAATAAATTTACTTAAATTATTAAAATAAAATTATAAACTAATTATTCATATTTTGGAATTTTAAAGGGTTTTTTATCTATCTAACTGCTTCTATTATTATTATTACCATTAAGAATAAAATCACATTTAAAATCTAATAATATACTTTGAATTCATCTGTTTCAAAATATTTCATGATTTAACTAAACAAATTAAAGTATAACAAGAATTTAATATAATTAAAAATAATTTAAGTTTCTTTGAATATTAATGGCCATCATTATGATATTCAACATATATTAATATGTTTTTATAATAATAATTTATAAATTAATTTTATAACAAAAGAATTTATTAATTAACTGTAAAATATAAAAATATACAAATATTAAATTATTTATTTTAAAATCATAATCAACTCAATTTAAAACAACATCAATTTATAAATTCTAAAATTCTTCATTTATTAAATAAAATAAATAAAATATGAAAAATATTTATTAATTTTTTACTTATAAATTATATATGTTTATAATAACTTTCAGATTTTTTTTTTATAGCTGGACTGTTAAAATGCCAAGGACATACATAAACAAATAAAAACGATGATAAAAATTAAATAAAATTAAAACAAGAATACAAAGAGTAGTGTAAAAGAAATTTTAATGATTTTTTTCTTAGTGAGATCAGGAAGAAGAAAATATACATAGACCTCAAGATAACCAGGGAGCCTTGAAATTCACTCTCCTCCTCATAACTTAACACTTATGGCAAGTTGAGAAAAAAATACCAATACTATATGAATAACAAAAACTATAATAATAAAAATAATAATTATAATAAAGAAAATTGAAGTACCTACATTATAACAATATCATGAAATTGTTCTATGAAAAAGATGATCATCTAATTTTTTAATTGCATTTTTAATTGAAGTTTCTGAGATACAGGTTGAAAAATTTTATTTCTGCTTTCAACAAGCAAAAAAAAAAAAAAATTAAGCATATGTAAAAAATTCACAATTTGTTTTTTACAAGTTTTTTGTGGTATTACATACCTATGCCTATTAAATATTTAATTTAATTAAAGTTTCATTTTAAATTTACATTTAAGATATTTTACTATTTGATCACTAACTTTTTTTCCTTTTTTTTAATTGTTATTTATGACCAACATAAAAAAAAAGAAATACTGTAAATTGTTACATAGCTAATCGTGTATGTTCAAATCCATATATTATGATTATACTTGACTACTGAAAATTGTATTGCTTTCAAAGACTAGAATAAAATATGCAAATGAATTGATAACTACATTTTATTGTGCTATAAATCACAAATCAACACTCCGTATATATATTTCTAGACCAACCGGTAATCTTAACTCCTCCTCTTCAAAAAAATAAAAAAATGAAAGAAAAAAACGTAATACTGAAACATTATTTTAACGATTAAATTGGATAATTTATAATATATAAGGGACATTTTAAATCTTAATTATAACAGTCCCAAATATTCGTAACTCTCCTTAAACCACAAAAAAATGTGATGCAAACTGCCAAATGTTAAATTTGATGTTACTTGTAGTCGGCGTCAAAATCCAATACAAATAATTTGGTTTCTTCAGTACCATTACGACTGCCCACTGCACATACTAATTTAGTCTCATTTGCGCGTATCCGCCAAACAACTCCACCACTACCACCACTTTCTAAGGCTATTAAATTTCTAATAAAATCACCTACAAATAAAATAATACCATATATTAAAGACTTAAGTTTATGATTAATCATTGTGTCACTTTCAAACTACAAAATAAAAATTACCAGTTTTAACATCCCATAATTTAACAGTTCCATCATCAGAAGAAGTTATTACAAATCTGGTATTGAATTGTAAACATGTAACAGCTGAATTGTGCTTATTAGGACCTATATAAAATAAATTCAAATTATAATTTAAAATGAAAAATTAATTATTTTAAAATAATTACCAGATAAAGTCTGTAAACATTGTCCTGTAAGTATATCCCATACTTTGACAGTAGAATCTGCATTCCCAGACACTAAAATATTATCTCTTAGCTCCATTCCAGATGTTAAAGATTGATGTCCCATTAAAGTGTGCTTACATGTACCAGTCTCTACATCCCATACCCTTATGCTAGTGTCTAAAGACCCACTAACAACATGAGTACTATCAAACTGAAAACAATTGTCATACATTACTCAGATTTTAAAAGTTTAAACTTACAAAAATAAATATATTCAACCTTACATTAACTCTTATATAAATTATTCATATTATTAATTTATTTTATAATTTAATATTGATAAATAATTTTAACTGTTTGAGTTTAATTAAAGGTTCTACAAATAAAATTAAACTAACTTGTAATGAATATACACGATTAGTATGACCAGATAATGTGTGTAAACAAGTTTCACTTTCTGCATCCCATACTTTGACTAGGTAATCATAAGCACCACTAACTATTAATCGGCCATCATATTGAACACATCGTACGGCAGCCTGATGACCTAAAAATATAGATAAGCACTGACCAGTTCGAATGTCCCAAAGTCTAAGAGACGCATCCCTTGAACCACTAACAACTCTGAAAAATAATAGTCAGTAAAATTTATAATAAATTTTCAAATAAGTTCTTAATTAAATTTAAACATACTTATTTTCATGTAAATGCATACAACGGACAGTTGAAGTATGACCATATAATGTATGTGTACATTGTCCAGTTTCTGAATTCCATACTTTTAAAGTACGATCAGTAGAACCACTAATTATTACATTATCAGCCATTTGTGAAGACCATACTCCACCCGTATGTCCCACTAAAGTACGCAAACACTTAAACAAATATATTTACATATATAATTGTTATAACTTAAAAACTTTTTTGTTCTATTACTTATGAGACTTGATATTCTAACACAATCATTTTTTTTTTTTAAACTTACTTTTCCAGTAATAACAGACCAAACTTTAAGTGTATTATCATCAGAGCCACTAACAACCTGATTTCCACAAAATTGTAAACATGTAATAACATGATCATCATGACCTTTCAGTATAATTGGCATTCTTATCGGTTTAACTCTCCAGTTCATTTCAATTGCATGGTGCCTCATATATGAAGCCTAACAAAAGTTATTAAATAAAAATTAGTAAATTACTAGTTTAATTTATAAAATATTTAAATAAATGAAATGTTTTACTGAGTAACAAACAGAACAGATCATAAATGTAAAAAAAAAACTTTAATACTAATTTAAAAAACCAAATTTAATTAATATTACAAATTTAATGGATCAAAATTAAATGCATGTCCATCAGTGATAGACATAGATGTTTACAACAACCTTCTAGTTTATTTCTCTACATATTAACAAATAGATACTATATTCTAACAATGTTTTAATATTAAATCCTTTATTTTTCTGAATATTAAATAGTAGATATTTTTGCAGAAAATTTCAGTTCCGAAGAAGTCTCCTATCCCCCCCCCCCCCACTCTAATCCAAAATAATAACATTAGTAAGCAAAAACAACTAAAACAAACCTTCCATGGTGAGGTAGAATAATGATTTTTGGAACATTTAATAGTAGATTGTTCCATTAATGGTATACCAGCATTTAAACACTTTTCACGCCACAGTAAATTATCTTCTGATAAGAACATCCAACTACGACACGTCTGAGCTGCTTTTAATAAATCTTTAGGCTCCAAATATGATAAAACATATAAAGCCAACTATAAAACAAATGTTAGTTATTAATACTAAGTTAAAAATTAGAAATATTAATTTTATACTTCTTTAGGAAGTAAAGAAATGAAGTCTCTTTGAAACTGTGGTTCAATAAGCTGTAACATATGGCGGACTTGAGTTGGTTCACATTCATCCACCAACATATCTATAGCTAACATTCTTTCTGCATTTGACCATTTCTGTAAATAAATTATGTAACACAACAATTAAAACTGAAAACTTAAAAGAAACAAATTTAACCAATACTAAAATTTTACAAACCGTAAAAGTTTTTAACCATTCCATCATTTCTTCAGGAGGATTATCTTTGGACGGTATACAACTTCGACGTATTTTAATTTTATCTACTTTATCTAATTCATTTTCAACCAATTTAGGTATCAGTCTAAGAAAAAAAAAATTAATAATAAAATATTTTTTTTTTATCATTATTATGAATTAGCCAAAGAAATTGCATTATATAATTAAATTTAAAGTTTAAATTTAAAAAAATTACGTGACTAATAGTATAAATATTTGGAAAAATTGTGAATAAATAGCTTTAAATTACTTTAGAAAAAATTAATTATAAGTTTTTTAGTAAACTTAATATTTTTTAAATTATATTGCATTTCACTGAAATCTTTATGTACAAAATGTACATAAACTTTAATTTATGATGAATGATAAAATACATACTACTAAAAATAATATATAACATTATCCTTAAAATATACCTTTCATGAGTCAAATTATTTTGATCATAATATTGTTTTTTGGACGGAAAATCTTCAGACGTTAATGTAGAATTTGATATTTTTCTTTTTCTCTGTTAAAACAAAAATTACATTTACAAACAAAAATAAATAAATAACAATATATTTAAACAAATGTAAAAAGCATGATAACAAGTTGACTTCACTATTAATGAAAATATTGTTTTTATTTCAAAATAATGTTTTGTGCAAATATGAAATGATACTTAGATGTACAAAAAAAAAAAAAAAAAAAAAAAATATAACCAGATTATTTTACATACCACAACGCCATTGACACTTGAAGCATCTTCATGTTCACAAGAAGCATCTGTCCATTCATCATTGACCCAACCACCAGGTAAAGGACTCTCATCAGAGTAAAGATCCTGATCTGTACATGTTTCATCAACTAAATGGAGACTAAATACATTGTTAATTTCAATATTAGCAATACCAATTTCATCAGAATCAGTGGTTGGAGCTGATTCTTCAATGATCAGTTCTTGTTCTGCTACTTCCAACACAACAGGACACATGGTTGGACTTTGACTGGTAGAATCAGTCTTTTCAAGAGATGAAGAAGGGTCTTCAAAATCTAACTGATCACCTTCCATTCTGAAATAAAAAACATGAAAAATCAATACATATAAATTATATATGACTAAAAGAATTAATAAATGTATTTAAAAGTACTAGAAATAAAATTAGTTATATTAGGTTATAACCCCTAAATGAATCAAATACAAATATTTGTGTTTAATGCTAATTATTCGTTATCTGTACCGTGTAAATTAAAATGGTTCCATGATAGTGAAAATGAATAAGTAAACATGTATTATCTAAAATATTACATTGAATTTGTTTATTATTACATTTTGTACCAGTTTTGCTGAACAAAGACACAAAATGCCATTCCATTGCTTATAAATTAGTATACATAACACCCAAATGAAAGATTAATAATGATTAAATTAATATTTTTACTTCTCAAAAAGAAAAAAAATTCAATACATATTGACCTATATCTATAGCTGAATTGAATAAATATTTATTTTATAGGTATAAATTGTATAGGTCAAAAAAAAAATAGAATAAACAAAAATAATAGCAGGTCATGAATTTATTTTCATTAAATGATGATTCATTAAGTTTAACTCAGCAAAAATATTAATAGCCTTATTGCATTGCAAGTATTATTATGCATTTCTCTAACATTTTCATATGGTAATCACACTTATGAATATGATAAATTTAAATGGCAAAATATGCATTTAAGGCTTATATACTGAACTGTGAGAGTAATGTAAATGCATTTTTGTTTAAAAAAATATACCTTAACATATACAAGTATCACAAGAACATTATCAATAATATAAGTGTACAATTTAACGGGTGGATTTATTTGCTTAGAAATTGTTCAAAATTAAATGGCACTAACTACTTAATGCCAATACAATTTTTCAACAACTGTTGGTAAACAAATGCAATTCCATCATTAAACATTAATAATCTCTACAATTAAATATAATATGTTTGAGGTTATATGTACTCACTAACAGTGTTCGTCCAGATACACTATAAGGTTAACGAATTTATCGTAAGAGATTTCAAATAATTAAGTCAAGGCATCCTTACGAATCAGATGTACATTAAAGTGGATGAACGAAAACAACTTCAGGGGAACATGCGTTTCGACATGAACCTAATTTAATTGGTCAATGACGTAACTATGATTATTTTCAAATACAAGTTAGTCGTGCAACACCGCTTTTGGATTAATTGAGTAACAAATCAAAGATAATTACCATAAATGAAATATTGTCGTTTTAATGGCAGCAGGTGTCGGACTCTTCGCGTGAATACCAACGACGAAATTTCGGATACGAATGTGGGAAACAAATACTCGTCACTGGCCCCTGGACACCCTTCCCTCACCGTTGAATTAGTGTGTTATCAATTGTACCGTTTTCGATAAGAACCATTTACTAATCAAATCAATAATTTAAAAAATTCTTAATACTCTCATTCCTCTAGCGCATCAAATTTTAAAACATTTTAAAATTTTAACTAATCATCATTGGTTTTATTGCTCTAACAATTAAACCTTTTAGAATTTAACAACCAATTATTTATTTGTTTTTTTTTTTGTTATCATACTATAAACTAGTATAAATATAACCTTAAAATTATTTTTTATTTTTTTTTTATCAACTAATATCACTGAATTTAATATATTCATAGAAAAAATATTGAATTACGAAAATACCCTTTTCCTAGCATTAAGTGTTTACGTGATAATCTATCATGAAAAACTAAAAACCGATTTTATGTAAATATGCAATATTATTAATATTAAATATTAATACGTTGCTATTTTGATACTTATCATATTTAGCTGTATTATTAAATTTTAAGACTAATTAAATTCGTTAATACTTTACAATATATAACGATTTTACATTTAAAATGGCAGTACCATCACCTAGATCGCCAGAACAATCTGAACGAAGTCGAAAATATGACCGTCAACTAAGGTAATTATTACTATATAAGTTTTAATTTATAAACTTAATTCCTTGCATAGCTTAATCAATAAATTACAATTATAATCTATATATATTTATAAATGTCATTTTATGATAGTTTTTCCATCAATTATTATTGATCATTTAACTTTTTTCCTTGAATTACTCGAGTAAACATATATTGTTATTTTTCTATAGATTTTGCCTATATTTTTAAAAATCAATGTATTGTATGTAAAGTTACTAAAATAATTTTTATTTTTTACCTATATTTATTATAATATTATATTTTTAAAGTACATCTTTTAAAACTAAACTGTTAGGTAATTCAGTAAAAAAAACTTAACCAAAAGAATATTTAGGTACAGCCCTACACTCAGTTTCAAACTTAAGGGTCTCTGAGCCCCATGGCACCTACTAAAAAACAGGCCTTTTAAAAATACATTAACAAAAACTGCTTTTAATTTGTATGTATTCAACTTACTTTAATAAGAAATAATTATATTATAAATATGTAACAATTAACTCGTTTTCTTATTTTATAGTCTTTGATTGATCAGTTTTAAAATGTACATAATTAAATATGACTTACAAAATTGAAAATAGAAGATTTATATAGAACTAATATATGTAGTATTTTTAATTTAAAAATTAGATCTTTTTATAAATAAAATATTTTTTAAATTATTAATTAATTAATAATTATATTCAAACAAATGTTGAATGCCTCCTGTAATATTCAAACCTATGCTAAGGCACTTGTTTATGTAGAAGATATGAATATAATTATTTATTATTTTAGATTATGGGGTGATCAAGGTCAGCAAGACTTAGAAACTGCTCATGTATGTCTAATCAATGCAACTGCATTAGGAACTGAAATATTAAAATCTTTGGTCTTACCTGGTATTGGAGCTTTTACTATAATTGACAATGAAATTATAACTGAAGAAGATGTAGGTTCTAAGTAAGATATATGAAACCATAATTATTTAACCAGAATTTTAATTTTATTTATTACTAATTAATCTATTTTACAGTTTCTTCCTTACTGCTGATAGAATTGGAGAAAAAAGAGGATCAGTTGCTTCACAACTCCTCTGTGAGTTGAATCCAGATACTAGAGGTCATTTTATTGATGAATCTTTATTAAAGTTATTAGACCTAAATCCTAGTATGTTTAGTACATTTACCGTTGTTGTTACTGCATCATTACACGAAAAGTAAATATCTAATTATAAACCAATAAAAGATTGTAATTTTTATTTTATTTTTATTTTAGAGAAATAATTGAATTATCACATAAACTGTGGGCTTATAATATACCTCTTTTAGTATGCCAAAGCTATGGATTTTTTGGTTCTATGAGGCTCCAACTAGCTGAACATACTATGATAAAAACTCATCCAGACAATCAAAATCCAGATCTACGGTTAGATTGTCCATTTGAAGCACTTAAAGAACATTTTGATTCTTATGACTTAGAATCTCTCGATCTAACCAATCATTTACATGTTCCATATCTTGTTATATTATATAAGCATTTAGAAAAATGGCGCAATAATATTGGTAATGCCAATGCATTACCAGAGACATACAAAGATAAACAAGTAATTCGACAAAACATCAAAAATAGTTAGTATTACCTTATTTTTAAATGTTTTTAAGGAAATTTAAATAATTTACGTTTGTTTATAATATACTTAATTATAATTAGATATTATTGATGTGTCAAAATATGGGTTTTACTTTAAAAAAGTTTTTCCAACTTTTTTCTTATGTATATTTTGCAAATAAACTATACAAACAATGTATATAATTACTGGTTTTTCTTTTTTTTTTTATTCATAATAATAATTATATTGTATGTACTCACTGAAGACTGAATTTAGCTCTTCAGAAATGTGTTCTTATCCCTTCTTTAAGAAATACCCCAAGGTTGGAAAATACTTTTAAATTATCATACAATTTAGATTGTAAAAATAATACAGTACAACTTCTTTTTTTTTTAAACATCAGGTTGATAGTAATCAATAATTCGACAATATTTTTTCACAAAAATATTTATTAACTTATTTTTATTAGAAACTACTTACATTAAATTGAGCATAAAATAATATAAATCTATAGTTCCAAAAGAAAAGATACAAAGCAGCAACCGGTTTTCGTTCGGCAGCGCACATTCCTCATTAACAACTATTATGTGCTGCATTTTAATTAATCATTGTCAGCAATGATCGGAAATAAACTTTATAAAATTCACTGCATGAAACAAAGCCAGGTGGAAGGGGAAAAATGCGCAGAACCATGTTTTCTCTTTTGGAACAGAGTATAGTTATATTAACAAATTCGGAAAAAAAATTATTTAGATTATATTTTTTTTAATTTTATCAATTTTAAAATATTTTTTCCTTATTAAAAGGTTACTTTTAACCTTCTTATTAATTTAATAAATATTTGGTAGATATTGGTTGTACCTACCATTGTAAATAATGTCTTACATTATTATAGGTATAAGAAAACATGATAATGGTACTTTATATCACGAAGAAAACTTTGAAGAAGCAATTAGATCAGTTAATTTTGCCTATAATAAAACATCATTACCGATAAATATTCAAAATTTATTCCAAGATGAAAAATTAATAAATTTAACCTCAAATGTAAGTATCTTATTAAATATGTATAAATAATTTGTCAATTTTTATTAAATTTAATTGTTTATTAACTTATTTAGAGCCAACCGTTCTGGATAATGGTTAAAGCACTTAAAGATTTTGTGGATAATGAAGGATGTGGTAGGCTTCCAGTTCGCGGAACACTGCCTGATATGACAGCTGACACTTTTAAATATATCAGTTTACAACAATTGTTTGTTTTTCACAAACTAATAACAATACTTAACATATAAACATTACTATAT